AAGAAAGTGTTGTTGACATCGCGCACGCTGTGAAAGGTGCGTTGCATGTGCTTTGCAGTACTGAAGGAACACTTTGATGAGGTTTTCTGACCGCCGTTGACGCTCTGTACGCTGCGTCATGGAGTCCGCTATCAAGCTTTCAGAGGAGGAACAATTATATATATGTATGTAAAATTTCATGGAATATACATGAGGTGGTCAGAACCGGCATGCAACAGAAGTTGAGGCCTCAAGATGAACCGGGGGGGTCAGAGTTAAACCCGGTTCAACGACGATTCAGGCAAAAAGAAAATATCCGAATCGTCCTTGTACCTGATCTTGAATCGTTGTTGAACCGTCGCTGAACCGGCAACTCTGACTCCCCCTAATCTTAAACGCCTTCAACACGAAGTTTAATAGGTTCTATCACGTGAACGCAACCTCATTTTACTTTCCACGCCACAAGATTGAAGGAATAGGGCTTGTCCAGTACACCTTTGTTTTCAATTTCGTATTTATTATTCTTCTTTTAGGACTTTATTTTTTTACGACGAAAGCCCGCAGGACCGGCGTGCACTCTAAAGACTAGACGGTAAGGTAGAGCATCGACAATCGGGATGTCCACACTGAGGGCGGCAGTCGCGCACGTAAATTGACCTCTCCCGACGTCGTACGTTCCCCGAGTCATCCCTAGTCCGAAGATTGTGTAACGGAAACGCGCGAGTGAAGTCATTTTATTTTTACTTATGCTTTTCTATGCAGAACTCGAAGCCTTCTTTCTATTTTTGTATGTTCCCCAAAGTTTTGGTCAGGCGGCACGAGAGTACGTGCATTGCCTTGTGATTTTGATATTTTTGTACATTATAAAAGGTGTCCTCCCACCTGTCAAATGGAGTTGTCTTTTCCCCCTCTTTCTTTCAAAAGATCAGAGCTCGAGTCGACCAACCACCCGCTAAAGAACTTTTTAAGCAACTTAGGTTCACTTCTCAAAACAAGTCACAAGAATATCAAGTTGTATGCACGACGCACACCACTAGGAACTTTTTCAATAACCTTCGCCGACGGAACGCCAACACGCATATAGCTAACCTTTCTGTTTATCTTCTTTTCCCCAATCTCTCCCCTACGTTGTCTCTTTCCCCAGATTTTATCCTTTCCCCGACAAACTCCTTTTGTCGAAAGATCTTCTCACACATCCACGCCACCTTTCATCAATTTCATTGTCTTCATCAAAGTCTCCCTCGCCGTGAGAAAGTCTTCACACGTTTTCATTGGCACTTCCGTTCTAGGCACTCCCTTTCTTCTGTGTCTTTTGCCTTTCAGACATGCCTCTTTGTGCTCTTTGCGTAAAATCTTTCGCTTGTTCTTTTCATTCTCCCATTTTCCGTATTACACTTTGAGTCTTCGCAGACGACCAGATCACTTGCCCTTCTATTAAAATTCTGTACTTCCACACTGGGCACGAAGGTCGACTTTGGGATTCCCAGTTGGCACATTAACGGACATGGAGCAAATTGTAGAAAGAAGTTTTGCCTCGGTTTTATGAAGGGTGTGGGAAGGACGTGCGGCGAAGAGGTTGAAATCACCTGGTCGCATACAAATCCGCTAGCGCCAAGCATACGAGAGATGGTGCCAGCGGCTCGACATGACACTTTAAACGATCACTGGAACGGGTGGAATTTCCGGAAGGTTGTTGGCTTTCGTAAGTGTACTTTATTCATCTTCGTGACCTGCTCTTATTTGCGGTGAAGGAAAGCAATTTGCAAGACGTTTTGAGGAAGCCGTTCTTATGAGTGCGAAGCACAAGGACACGTTTGAGAAATTCTCCTCAACATTTCCTTCTGAGACCGTCGAAAAGTGGGAGCACATGGTGGAATGTTGGGAAGCCAACCCCAAAGCTCTGAATCCATATGAAGAACCAGAAAAAAGTATGTAGCTTTGAATAAATTCTAATCTGTGCCTAATTCAACATCCAAACTAGCCACCACCTTCCAGGATGTCCGTCTTGACTTGACACGGCAAGAAACACTCCTGCTTGCATCAGGTCGGGTGCTGTGGCACAAAGTAACTATGATGGGGTTTTTCTCAATGGGTTTTGAGATTGAGGACCAACAGTGAGTCTTTTGTATCGGTAGTCATTGTGATCTAACTTCTTTTCAGGTTTGTTCTATCCTCGGAACTTGCACGATCGAAGGGGAAGAAGACAAGTAAACAGTTGGCCAATCTCGAGGATAAACGGAGCTCGCTTATCCGACAAATTCAGATCTGGCGGCCTATTCAACTCGCATATACACCTTACGTTGCCACGTTGCTGCCTTTGGTGCATTCGGTCGACGAACCTGGTGCTCAGTACACACATCCTGAGTTGGCGACTCTCTTTTTCCCTCCACCTGAGATCCATCGGCACCCCGGTATGAAGGAAATATATGACACTGAGCGTCGTTTACGGGAGCCTCAAGCTGATGATGCCCTTGCAGATGATCGCCGCCTGCGCCGTATCATCCAGGGTCTCTGGCAATTCAAAAAACTCAATGTTTTGCTTGACCTCTACAAGCAAGTGGAATACAAGCTCCAACGTGCAGCTAATCGGTACCACATCCCATATACTGCTTTGATGGCTCTGGATCCGAATGGATTGTGGAGAGATCACATGAAAGAGCTTAAGCCGACTGATATAAGGGGGCCCGGTAGGGATCCTGACCATCCAGAAGATGCTAAATATTCAAACGGCCGCTTTGTTACATCGTGGATTTGGTTGGTTCCACGTTCGCCTCGAGAATGTGGCGATGATCAGACTGAGGCTGAGTTTAACGACAGCATGCTTGCTGAATGGGCTCAGACACGTGCACGTATGTGTCGGTGGGATGAGGAGTCGTTGATTGTTCAAGAGGAGATGCGGCGGGTACTCGCGTTTTTTGAATGGAAGTCAGTGTGGTGGCTGGAGCAAGGTAATTGAAGGCAACAGCTGCAGCAGTCCATTGAAAGTGGAGTGACGGCATATGCCCATAAACAGGCAAACATTTGCTTGCGCATGGCAGCTAGGTGTGCTGCCTATTGGTTACCGATTATGAAGAAGCATAGTATTATTCTGACTTGGAGTGGTAATTACGAGGGGTCGAAAACTGGTGTTGGAGGGGATCCTACATCTGACTCCGACTCCGATACTGATGAGGAGGAGTTAGACAGAGCAGATGATAAATCTGATGGTGGTGAGGTTGATGTAGATGACATCTTTGAGTTTGATTAGCCTAGAGACTGTTATATTACTTAGAATAATTAATCAAAGTTACAATGAGTGTGCCCGAGACATCTAATGAAAATTGCATTGAAAGTGCACAGAATGAGGAATGAAATGGGAATGAGTGGGTTCAATATTCCTAATGAAAATTTATTGAAAGGGCACAGAATAAGGAATGAAATGGGAATGAGTGGGTTCAATATTCCTAATGAAAATTCATTGAAAGGGCACAGAATAAAGAATGAAATGGGAATGAGTGGGTCTAATATTCCTAATGAAAATTCATTGAAAGCGCACAGAATGAAGAATGAAATGGGAATGAGTGGGCCTAATATTCCAAATGAAAAATGCATTGAAAGCGCAAGGACACACCTATGAAAGGCCTTTCATAAAACTTGTGGACTTATACACACAGCTCTACAGGCAAGTACCTTAGTTTTATGATAAAAGTGGTAGCCACCAGTCTCCTCGTAGCGTCAGATGCAAAAGACTCAGCGAAACGCCAGATGGCACCAATGCCAAGGTCTTTTATTCCCTGGCTTGTGTTTCATTTACAAATTACAGTAGCGCCTTTCGCAATTTCTGCCGAGCTCTTCTGGTCTGTCTCGAGCCTTGTTTGGAGTCCCAGGGAAATCCTGTTGCTGCAAAAAATGTAGATTAGGGGTGAACTTCGACTGACTTGGGAGGTTTGGCCTACCAGACGTGGTTCTTAAATAGACCACTCATCTTGTCATGATCCATGTGAAGCCGCTCCTGCAAGAACTGACAGGATAGCCGTTAGCGGATGTGTTGATAGACCAGGAGATGGGACATACCTCCTCTGCACCTGCGAAAAGGTGAACTTGAGAGAGACCGATGTCCTCATGGATCGAATTTCCCACCAAAACAAAGAGGGATTCAAAGCTGTCTTGTTTGGCTGCTTTGTTTGTGACCCTTTTGAGCTGACTGACCAGCCTGTCAAACTTTCGCATGTGTTGACTGATGGTTGAGTAACCATTCGATGCGGCGAGGACTTCGTTGTAGGCCTCAAGAATCTCATGCCATCTGGGCTCATGTTCTTTAAAACCAACCCAGCAAGTCTGGCCTAAATCATCGCCATCAGTCAAGAACACATTAAGGTAAAAGAAATACCTACAATTTGCCCTTGAGTCCCCAATCCGTCTATGTTCCTTCTCCTGATTAGCTAGAAAGTATTTCTGGTATTTATTCCACATTGAGCCTGTACATTCATGTGCATGGGTGCGCTTCCACAACGTGATGATGTTCTCGTGTGTATGGCCTGTCTTGTTAGCAAGTTGGTCGATGATGTCATTGATCTTCTGGAAGCCGGTGTTCAACACATCCCAGTACTTTACCCTCCCCGGGTTATTCCATATGGAATGGATGGAATGGGGGTGGACTGCACAAATTCCAGATGGATTCCATGGAGTGGGGGATGGATTCCATGACTTTGGGGGATGGATTCCATGGAATGGCTGATGGATTCCATACTTCCCCCACATGGATTCCATACTTTTCCACATGGATTCCATACTTTTTCCACATGGATTCCATACTTTTTTCAGATGGAATCCATACTCTATTCTATATGTTCTATCCCATTTTAAGGGTGGAATCCATATGGAATCCACATGGAATGACTTTATGAAATAATTCTAAGTTGAGCAGGAAAAATTGAAATGTATTAAATAAATAGACTACACAATTTATTTTTACTATTCTCAATATTTAAGGGGGGGGAAGACAGGGGGAAGTGATGGAGGGGGGAGGATGTAGTAGAGAGTGAGGGGGGAGGGAGGGGGAAGGAGTGATGGAGGAGAGAGGGAGTGGCGAAGGGAGGGAGTGGTGAAGGGTGAGGTGGGAATGGATGGAGGGGGGAG